AGGCTACAGTAAGCTGTGAACGCACCACTACACTCCAGCCTGGGCAACAGTGAGACCCTGTCTCAAAATAAAAAAATATTGTTAAACTGGTCACATTGCCTCCAAGGACGGGAACTAGGAGGCAGAAGAGTTTGTACTGTAGCGCCTATACTTATCTTTTGAATTTTTAACATTAATGTATTATCTAACAAAAACTTTAAGTTGGCTGGGCACAGTGGCCAACTGTAATCCTGGCACTTTGAGAGGCCGAGGCGGGAGGATCACCTGAGGTCAGGAGTTTGAGACCATCCTGGCCAACATGGCCAACATGGTGAAACCCCGTCTCTACTAAAAATACAAAAATTAGCTGGGTGTGGTGGTGTGCGCCTGTAGTCCCAGCTACTCAGGAGACTGAGGCGGGAGAATCACTTGAACCCGGGAGGCGGAGGTTGCAGTGAGCTGAGATCGTGCCACTGTACTCCAGCCTTGCGAGAGTGAGACTCCATCTCAAAAAAAAAAAAAAGAAAGAAAAAGAAAATAAACTTTAAGTGTATAGGATTTGAATTCAGTCTGTCACTGTATGACTTTAAGCAAGTTGCTTCATCTTTGTGTTTCCTCATTGGCAGAAAAGGATTAATACTAGTAACTGTACCTTTTGGGATTATAAGAAACCAATTGTTATTTTTTTGAGACAAGTTCTGGCTCTGTCACCCCGGATGGAGTGCAGTGGTGTGATTTCGGAGGCTACAGGTGTGCAACACCATGCCCGGCTAATTTATTTATTTTCTGTGAGATGGGCTCTCACCACGTTGCTCAGGCTGGTCTCTAACTCATGAGCTCAAGCCCACCTTGGTTTCCAGAAGTGTTGGGATTACAGGTGTGAGCCATCACGCCCAGCCAATTGTTGTTATTACTAAAGAAAATTTGGGCCCGGTGTGGTGGCTCATGCCTGTAATTCCAGCACTTTGGGAGGCCAAGGCAGGTGGATCACTTGAGGTCAGGAGTTCAAGACCAGTTTGACCAACATGGTGAACCCCCATCTCTACTAAAAATACAAAAGTTAGCTGGGCGTGGCGGTGTGTGCCTGTAGTCCTGGCTATTTGGGAGGCTGAGGCAGGAGAATCGCTCAAACCCAGGAGACAGAGGTTGCAGTGAGCCGTGATTGCCCCACTGCACTCACACCTGGGTTAGAGTGAGACTCCATCTGAAAAAAAAAAAAAACTGAATAATCAATGTTGCTGTGTGAATTACATGCCATTACAGAAATAGTAAAGCAAATGGGAACAGCTTGTGAGGTGATCAGGGCATAGCTAATAAAGTGATCCTTAATATTGGAATAAAGTTTTCCCATCATAAAGGTATTAGAAGTGTTTGGTGTATTTGAAGAACAGCAAGGAGCCTGGGGTGAGGACAGCAATAGGACATAAGGTCACACATAGAAAGTGGAAAGATCATAAAAGCTATTGTGAGGACTTTTCATTTTTTTGCACAGGAGTGCCGTGATCCATTTAATAGAATCCCTTGGGCTACTGTGTGGAGATTAAACTGTAGGGTAGCAAGGACAGGAACAAGGTTTTCTTGTAGACAATGCTGACCTTTGGCCCGAACCCTTTCTCTTTCCCAAATTAGCCATGTGTAAGTTGTTCTTTGTTTTTAAATAGAGGTCTCACTATACTGCCCAGGCTGGCCTCAACAAATCCTCCAGCCTGTCTCCCAAAGTGCTGGGATTACAGGCCTGAGCCACCGCACCCAGCTGAACAGTTTTAGATAAAAACTTAATTCATGCAATGATCAAAGAACTGAGAGAGTAAGTACATTTTATGCTACCTCAAATTATGTTATTTCTATAATCACATTTTGATGCCTTTTTGCTGGCTAGGGTATTTGGTTTGCTTTAAAGTACATTAGCACTAGAAGATGACAAAAAATAACAGAAAGTCCATTTCTTTTAATAGACATTTATTCCTTTAGTTGAACAACTTCTACACAATAAAAATGTATGACTTAAGATCTTTTTTTGTGTGTGTGAAGAAATTTAGGTCTCAAGAACTTCTATGAACTTGCTGAGTACTTCCTGGAATTCAATTAACTGAGCCTTTTGAAACCCCTAGAGAAGATCGGAGAAAATTGGTTCAGAGAAACGAGCATTTAGATTTAAGTCAGTAAAGTCAGAATTTAGAATTGGGCAATTCCTTGTCTACCTTTTCTTTATACTCAAATCCACCCTGGGAAACAGTCTAGTCTCCTGGAAGACATGATAGAAACAGAAATGCAATGTGGTGGTATACTCAAAGTGGGAGCACAAGTGATGGCCCAACTTTGTGGAATGGTAAGGATTTTTAGGGTAGTTTGGCCAGGAACAAGAGAATTAACTGCGCAAAACACATACGGTTGCAAACCATGCGCTTATGACCTTTTCTGTAGCCTATGGGAGTGCACAGAATGGGTAACCCAAGATGTTTTTAAGACTGACTGGACTAAGAATGAGGTACTTATAGCCAACTACTTTCCCCTCTAATGTGACTGAAGGGATTCATAATGATCACAATTAGCATTACGGTTAAATATTTTCGGACTGACTTCTCACACTTGAAAGGTATTTATCTAATGGCCACTGGCTTACCAGCTTCCCACCCTAGCATTCATTGCTAGCTTACCAATCTTAAGGCTAATTTTATCTCACATTCAATTTCAAAACACACCAGTATTAATACCACTACCATGAATCATTGAATTACATGAAGCCACAGCACTGAACTAGGGAGTTTTCACCTTTTTTATGTGAATTTAAAATGGTACTATGAAGGCAGAAGCAATTTTCTTCAGGCTAACCCGGATTTTCTAAAGCCCAGTTAAAAAAGTCTGTACCTGTCAAACTAAAAAAACCCAGCCACTTGAAAGTAAACCAGCACAGCATTGCCATCACCAACAAAGCTGCAGGTTTCATCACATGCACCAGACGAATCTACAGGGCTAGTTTCAGTTCTCTTAAAGAATTTATTTTAAACCTATTATACCACAGTATGTTTTATACACTGACATACAACTCCCTAATAAGATAAAGACAAAAAAGTTTATCTTATTAGAAACAAGATACACCACCACTTATTGTCTTCAAACATTATTGCACTTTAACTTTCTTAATTTGACAAAGCATTCAAGAAACAATCTGCAGACTAGTTTTAACAGACAAATAACACCTGTAAGCAGACATGACTGTCCTAAATTGTTTATTAGGTATGAATTTTACAAACTTTACTTATATTAGCGGTAACGGTGGAGCTGGAGAGTATTGCGCCTTCTCCAAGCTGCCCGGCGAGAACCACCAATAGTGTGGTGGAACTTATGGCCCTTTCCAAGGCCACGGCTCTTTCGGCCTGCAGATGTCAGCCCACGCATCTCCCTGTGCTTGTGGACTGGTTTGGTGATCCACTGGGTGTCAGGATTTCTTCTGATAGCTTTATGGAATGGATCAATGAGGATAACCTCAAAAAATTTGTATGTGGAATCTTCTCCAACCCAGTAAGAATTCAGGACTCTCAGAGCCCCACAGTGGCGTCCAGCTCGCTCCTAGAATAGGAAAAAAGGTCAAGGTCAGTCTCCCACATTGCCCATAGCAGCGAGTCAGAAAGAATTTTAATTCTCAACTCTAGTTCACCACCAGACAGGAGTCTTTTACTACTCAAGTATTTACGAAGCATTTCTCCCTAGACTATCGCAAGTATAACGAGATAAAGTAAACTTGCTAAAACAACACACATATAGACTGAAACACATCATTCCCTCTTAATACTCCAGTCCTTACTAATACCTGGGTAACAAAATTTAGGGTTTGAGGACCTTATCTTTTTCCAATACAACTGAGAGCTCAGCAACGTTTAGCTTTAAAAATATCTAGTATATATTTTAGGCTGTGCAGGCCACATTTGGTCTCTTCTGCATATTCTTGCCTTTAAAGCTTAGGTTCCACAAGTACTTCCAGTATATATACACGCATTTGTAATAACGACTTACAAGTCTTTCAAGCAATTACTCTTTACCAAGATTAGTAAAAATCACAAACCCTATTTTATACACGAGACAGTTCACGTTAAGTACAATCAGAAGAGTTGCTTAAATGTCTCTCCCACCGTCCCCAGGCAGTATTCAATATAACTGCTACTCAAAACCATTTACCTCTGCAACGGACTGAAGGCTCCGAGCAAACTTTAGCTGGTTAACACCATGATGGACAGGCTTGCCATAAGTTGCACCCTTAGGAACTGGGCGTTTTCGGCCACCACGGCGAACACGAATCCTATATATAACGTAACCTATACACAAACACACACAAAATTAGTGATTTTATAGGAAGCCCATCAGGCTTAAGACTCAATGGCTTGTCATTAACACTCCACCAAAAATACTTCAACAGTAAGTTAATGCTATATAATGGAAAAAAATAAAACACATCCCAGTCTGTCAATGTACTTTAGGTTACTCACACAGGGAGACACACTGTTTGCTTTAGTCTGAACTCATCCAGATTTGCAACCTTTGACGCACTTGCCACTTTAGACAACAAGTGCATAAAGTAACTGACCAGTGTTGCTAGCTCTATTCTGCCAAAGCCCTATGAGAAGAAAGACACTGGGGCAGCAGTGTTTTCCTACCAGCTGGTTTCCAACTTTCCTGCAATATAATTTTATCCTAGCATCCGGGCAGTCGATCACGTACCTTGCTTGGCCTTGTAGCCCAGTCGGCGCGCTTTATCAGGCCGGGTGGGGCGGGGAGCCCTGTGGAGAGCAGAGAGCTGGCGGTACTGCCAGCAGCGGACCCTCAGAAGAAAGCGCATGACATCAGACTGCTTCTTTCTCCATAGCTCCTGAATGTACTTGTATGCACCCATCTTGGCTTACCTGTGAAATCAAACTGGGTATTAAATATCATCCGCTTGAAGTACAATAAGACGACCCTACTCGTCCATCTTAGTTCCCCAACAAGCACAAGGAAACCGCCGGGAATGAAAATGGCTCTGCACCAACTGCCGGGGACAGCTAGCCCAACCCCCACCAATGCGCCCACGGAGCCGCGTTCAGTCACCTCCGCAACCCCGGCGCGGTGCTCGGCACGTTTTGGTGGGGCGAATGAACAGAGCCAGAGGTGAGCACCAAGGGGGCGGGTGGCTGCGGCAGGCGGCGTCCCCAAGGGGAACCTGCAAGGAGATGCCGCTGACACAACAGGGCAACGTATTGCTGCGGCCGCCGAGGATTAACTCTCGAGGAAAATGCATCTACCCCACCCAACCAGCAGTCTCTCTTTAGGCTGCCTTGTCCCGGGCGCCCCATTCGTCAGCCCCACGCCTCCTCCAGGATCCGGGCCCAGCTCAAATTCGCGCCGCCATCACATCTTCGCTCAACCCGCCCCGGGGGCCGCCTCTCCACCCCCTCGCTGTCCCGCATCCTGACCAAACTCTGGCCGCACAGGAGGGAGACCTATCTCGGAGGACGCAGGGTCCCCGGGCCTGGATGGTTGAAGAGGAAGACGATCAACGGCGGATGGAAGAGCAAAGATCTCCAACGCAGCCTACCTGATGGCTGCCGCCAGACGGAAAGGAAAGAGCTGTACTCCCACAATCCCTTTTGGGCTCCTCCCCCACCTCAGCCAACCTCTTTCCGGTGGAAAACTGCGGCCTCCCAGAGCCTCATGGGACATGTAGTTCCAGCATCGCGCCTGGTGGGCGGAGTTCTGCCAAGTGAGGCGCAGCCGCCCCTATTGTCCCGCCCCCTGCCCCGCAGGATTCCAGCCTGAGCGGCCGGGGTGCGAGAGTTGGCGGCGAGGCCTCGGTAAGCGAGCGTCGGTGACTGTCCCGCCGCGAGAAGAGGCAAGTTGGGGTCCAGGTTCCAAAGCCGGTGACCGCGTACCGCGGTGAGCCGCTGTCTTTGAGGTCAGAGGAGAGAACAGGTTTATTTCACGGACCGCGGGCTCTCTTCCCGCGTAGTCTCTGCGTCTCCGCGCTGCGCTGTCGCTCTCTGGCCCCCGCACGACGGGCTCAGAAATCTGGGCCCCAGCGCTGCGCTGTCCCTCTGTGGCCCCCGCACGACGGGCGCAGAAATCTGGGCCCCAGCGCTGCGCTGAGAGACCCCTCGACGCTTCGCCAGCCCCCCAGGGAGGCCTTCACGGAGTAGGGGCGTCGCGGGTGGGGGCGCTCGCTGTGTCCCTTCAGCTCCAGACTGCGTGAAGCTCCCGCAGGCCCCAGCTCCCAGGGGTTTTGTCCTAAAAAAGGGTCATGGACTGGGTGGATTGCAGGCGGCTTGGCGCTTTTTCTGCATACGGATTTCGTCCCAAAATTGCTAACATCAGAACCACAGTTTTTCAGAAAAGCGAATGTTTATTTGCCAAGACCTGTTTGGCAGGTGTGAATGTTTTAGGGAAGAAATGCCGAGAAAATGCTGGCATTTTGCGTTGCGGTTTTTTGTTTTTTGTTTTTTTAAATTAAGAAATAGGTTACTGGCTTATTTTGCTTCTCCAGAATATTTTCATTTTTGATATAGTCATGTGGTTTTAATTTCCTTCCAGATTCTGCGTTCGAATGTGGCAAAAGCTTAAAAGAATCGTTATCTCTTAATCGTAGCGGTTTTGATTATCTTTTTTCCTGCGTCATATTTTTCTTTCTTTTTAAATCACAGCTTTACGTTTTTAAGTGTCTCCATCTGGTACATTGATTGAGTCAACAAATATTTATTAAGTGTCTAATATGTGCCAGGCATAGTTGCTAGGGATGCAGCAGCAAACAACGCAGAAATTTTGGCCTTCTTGGAAACGGGCAGTAAGCAGAAGTAAGCTGTGTATTGGGTTTGGTGGTAAATGCTAAGGAAAAACGGTAAGGGGAGGGAAGTGATGAGGGAGTGTTAGGGGGTGCGGCTTGCAATTTGGAATGGAATGTCCAGGTTGTCTTTTAGAGAAGGTAACATTTAAGAAAGGACCTCAAGGATAGGAGTCTGGGAGTAAGAGTAGGGGTCTGATTCAGGTAGAGGGAAGAGTGCCAAGACTGGAGCATGCAAGGTGAATAGAGGAGCGGCAGGGAAGCTGTGTGGCTGAACTTCACAGTAGGAGAAAGTGGGAAATGATGTCAGAGAGGTGAAGGGTCTTACATGGACTTTGGATTTCATTGTAAGATTTTGAACAGAAGGATGACTTCATATGGCGTACATTTTAAAAAGATAATTTGGATTGCTCCTTTTGAGGCTAAAGGGAGAGCAAAAATGGAAGCAGAGAGACTACTTAGGAAATTGTATTAGTCTTCCATTGCTCCTGTAACAAATTTCAGCAACTTTCTTGGTTGCTAACAATGCAAATTTACTGTCTTTTTAGTCTGTAGATCAGACTAGGTCTGTAAATCTGTAAATCTCACTAGGCTAAAACCAAAGTGTCAGTAGGGTTGTATTCTTTCTGGAGGTACTAGGGGAACATACATTTATTCCTTGGCTTTTCCACCTTATGAAGCCTGCCTGAATTCCTTGGCTCTTGACTTCTTCCTTCATCTTCACAGCCAGCAAAACAGCATCTTTCAGTCACACCCTCTGCCCTCTCCAGCACTCCTATGTCTTTCTTATAAAGACACTTGTGATTACATTGGGCCCACCTAGATAATTCAGGACAATATCTTCATATGGAAGTTCTTAATCACACCCGCAAAATTCTTGTATGAGTATGTAAAGTAACATATTCACAGGTTTGGGGGATTACGATGTCTTTGAGAGACCAGGTGAGAGAACGCGGTGCCTCACCCAGACCACTTCAGTAGTGATGAAAATGGTAAGCAGTGCAGCCCTGTATGTATTTCAACAGTGAGGATGACTGACTAAAAAGTTGAATGCGCTACTCTAGGTGCACTGCCTAGGGGCGTAGTCCAGCTCGGAAAGGAGCAGTAAAAATAAAATTTAAAAAGTTGGATGAATCATTTGGAAAAAAAATTCTAGTAGTGTGAATAATCACTGCTAATTTATCAATCAGATTTGCAGTTTTGTTTCTCAATTTGTAGTTTCTCAGTTAACAGTTTTACAAGATTTGGATTTGTGTTTCCATTTGATTTTGAGATTCCTGAGGACAAGGGATGATTTCTGTTTTTGCCCCCTAGTTTGTCCCTGATAGCTGGCGTGATGGTAGGCCCTCACTAAATGTTTGGTAAATGAATAAAAGAATGGTAAGCTAGAATCTGCTTATTACATTTTACTTTGTGCAATATTGTGTGCAAAACCTGTTGAATATATTTTTATGTATGCAAATATATTCATATGTAGATAAGTGAAAGTATTCCACACCATGCATAATGTTGACATAAGTAAATACACAGTGTAGGTGGTTTCCCTACATGACAGTATTTTTAGAGATTTGTGACATCTCTCCTGTGATGTTAACAGTGTTTTGGTATTGTTTTTCTGGTTGCGTCAGAAAGTTGTGTTTTACTTGTAACAGTAGAATGACCCACTTACATAGACGAACAGAAGCACCAGCAGTTTTGGGAGCTGTTTCTGATGGCTTTTCAAAGAGAATGTTGACAAAGCATTTCACAGGAATGGACCAGGTCACATATTTATTCTGGTTTTTTTTTTTTTTAGCCTCAAGTTGGAGAGAGGAAGTTGTATTTATTCTCTAGCAACGTTATTGATTAGCCTGGAAAATAAAGCAATAAGTATTTAAGACTGCCCTGGATCTTGCCTATTAAGCACGTTCTCTTAGTAATTTACATCAGATGAGGTATAATAGGTCACAGATTGAATTTTATTGCCCAGTTTCTTAGGGTAGGGATGTGACGAGTAGCTGTAACTACTGTTTTTTGTGTTCACCTCAGTGTTGGTGTGTTCTCTGGATAAGCAACTTCTAATATCATAGCATCACAGTGTTGAAAGGAACCTAAAGGTGATCCATGTACTACAGAGCCTTTCAAATTCTTGAAACCTAGATTTAAGTAAGAGGCTTGGTTACCCCAGGATCAGTTCATGGGATTCAGTGCCCATTCAGGGTACTGCAGATGACCACCTTTGTATATTTCACAGGAAGTGGTGTGCATTTATTGTGTTTAGGAATTATTTAATTATAAGTGCTTTAAGAACCAAACTTAGTAGTTTTTATTTGTAAATCTGAAAATATCTAAGCGTGAGAGCCAGTTATTTGTAATGTGAGTTCCTGCCATAGGGATCATATATAGAAAATATTTTTGTTTATGTGCTATTTATTCAAAATGTTAATTATTTTTTAAAGAATTCTTAGCTTTGTAATTGATGGTAGCAAGGCACTCATTTGCTTTATGTAGTAGTATTGTTTCCTATTTGGAAGGCAACCAGGAACCTACAGTATTCAGCCATGCTTTGATTAATCACACTTATCTTTTCATCTTTGTTTTCTTTTTGATAGTGTAAAATATTTAATAAGGTCTGTTCTATCTCTTTGCTTTCCTTCCAAAAAATGCTTAAAATCCTTAGCTAGTGTTTTGAGCTACCTTTATTCAGTTACTTTTACTGTTTGCCCATGATGAAGACTTCTTTGGTGATATCAAAGTGAACTCCCCAATTTATTAATATACACACACAATACAAAACAATGTATAATTTTTAGCAAACGTTGTCTGTTAATCCTGTTATCCTGATAATTATATTATCCTGATAATCAATGAGTGATCAAAGTACATTTGTAGTGTACTACTTTTTTTTTTTTTGAGACAGAGTCTTGCTCTGTCTCCCAGGCTGAACTGCAGTGGCGTGATCTCGGCTCACTGCAAGCCCTGCCTAATTTTTTGTATTTTTGGTAGAGACAGGGTTTCACCATGTTAGCCAGGATGGTCTCGATCTCCTGACCTCGTGATCCACCTGCCTCAGCCTCCCAAAGTGCTGGGATAACAGGCGTGAGCCACCGCGCGCGGCCTGCAGTGTGCTACTTTTAAAGCAGATATAGTAACATTACTTCCAAAGGTACTTGGAAAGCTTGATATCTGAATGTCTCAGGTTTCTGTTGGTGTCAGATTTTTCCAGTTTGCTGTAGTCCCCAGCACTCATATTTGCCTCTTTTTTACAGAGGGCCTGTTGCTGTTAATCATTGGGCGTTTTTTTCCTTATAGCTGCCCGCTTCACTCAGCTACAGTATATGCCTGCCCTTTTGAGTTTATGCGTATATAAACTCAAAGAGACAGGGTCCCGATGTGGGGCCCAGGCCAGTCTCGAACTCCTGGCTCAAGCAGTCCACCCACCTTGGCCTTCCAAAGCGTAGAGATTACAGACGTGAGCCACTGCACCCGGCCTCTTTTGAGTGTTTTTGAAGATTGGCATAATGTGTGGATAAAGGCGTATTTTTTCAGTTGAACAGGAAAGGGAGAGTAGTAAAAATTGATACTTAGAAATTCCACTGAGGGTAAGAGATTTTCAGAGAAATAGAAATAAAAATAGAGAAATTTGGATTTAAATTCCAACAGCAGCCTTTTCTGACAGAATTATGCTGTGCTGTCATCATTTGTCCCATCCTCTAGGAGTTTATTTCTTTTTCAAACTCTTCTCATGTGCCTACATGGCAGTTTCTTTTAAGATTTAGCTATTATTAAAAAAAAATCTTCCTAAACAAAGATACAGTGGTATCATAACTTGTAAAGAAATCACAATAGGCAGAGAGGAGAGTCCTTTGATCAATGAAGTGACATTAAATTTATCATAAATTCAGAGGTATCTGTAGAAAACCTTTTAAAATAGGCTGTTGTTGCAGATGAAGGAAATACCATACATACCGTAGATGATCAGTGTTACATAATGCTCTGCTCTTATAAATAAAGGCTGAGAATTTTTCTATTAAAGTTAGGTTGAAAATATATAAAGAAAAGAAAGTCCCCTAAAAAAAGTGGTTCTCATGGAAGCCAGTGGTTAATATTCTCAGAAGATTTAGAATCTGAAGCATGCCACCAAGGAAATAATGGTTGTACTATGTAAGTGATGGCTAGTTGTCTATTGGTAAAGTGCAGTGTACTACTCTGAAAATAAATACTGTGTTATTACTATGCTACAAAAATGGCAGCATTAAAATTTTTTATATGAGATTAGTGTTGTGGGTGATTTGGGTCATAAAAAAATTACAGATTGAGAAGATACAGTAGAGAAGACTTGAAATTTATTTGTGGCGTAATGTTTCCAGTGTTAGTAGAAGACAGTGTTGCTGTGCAGCACACATGTGTGCAAGTACAACTACTATACTGCCACCATTAAGATATATTCTGCACTTTGGGAGGCTGAGGCCAGCGGATCACTTGAGGTCAGGAGTTCAAGACCAGCTTGGCCAATGTGGTGAAATCCCATCTCTACTAAAAATACAAAAATTAGCCAGCTGTGGTGGCATGTGCCTGTAATCCCAGCTACTTGGGAGATTGAGGCAGGAGAATCGCTTGAACTCAGGAGGCAGAGGTTGCAGTGAGCCGAGACTGTGCCACTACACTTCAGCCTAGGTGACATACACACACACACACACACACACACACGCACACAGATATATTCTGTAGTTGATGTGGTGAACAGAGGAGGATCCCTTGAATCCAGGTGTTCTAGGCGGTAGTGTGTGAATAGCCACTGCACTCCAGCCTGGGCCGCGTAGCAAGATCTGGTCTCTAAAAAACATGTGCGTTCCGTGTTGGGTTTTTATTGTCACAATCCAGTGAGCACGTGAGTGCAGATAGATACCTAGCATCCCTTTTGTCAGAATGCTTATTTGAATTTTCTTTTCTTTTTTTGTTTTTTTGAGACGGAGTCTCTGTCGCCCAGGCTGGAGCTCAGTGGTGCCATCCTGGCTCACTGCAACCTCCGCCTCCCAGGTTCAAGCAATTCTCCTGCCTCAACCTCCCAAGTAGCTGGGATTACAGGTGCCCACCACCACACTGGCTAATTTTTTTGTATTTTTAGTAGAGACAGGTTTTCACCATGTTGTCCAGGCTGGTCTTGAACTCCTCACCTCAAATGATCCACCCAACGTGGCCTCCCAAAGTGCTGGGATTATAGGCGTGAGCCACTGCACCTGGCCGTGAAGTTTATTGTTAGAGCTCTTTTTGTTTTTATTTTTATTTTTTTTTGAGACAGAGTTTCACTCTTGCTGCCCAAGTTGGAGTGTAGTGGCGTGATTTCGGCTCACTGAAATCTCTGCCTCCCGAGTTCAAGTGATTCTCCTGCCTCAGCCTCTGCAGTAGCTGGGATTACAGGCACCAACCACCACATTCGGCTATTTTTTGTATTTTTAATAGAGATGGGGTTTCATCATGTTGGCCAGGATGGTCTCCAACCCCTGACCTCAGGTGATCCACCCAACTCGGCCTCCCAAAGTGCTGGGATTACAGGCGTGAGCCACCATGACTGGCGTTACAGTTGTTTTTGACTGCAAGGAGTTATAGTGTCCCTTTTAGCCAGGTTTATAGCATGGTCACTTATAGATGAGCAGAGAATTAGGGGAAAGAAGGAGGTAGTGGGAGATGACAAACAGTAGTGTAGAAATTTGAATTCTTTGTCTGTTGTATTTAATGACCCCTTTTAACTTTCTGCCTTGACTTCTGGTACCTTGCCTTCTGGAAAGAAAAGCCTTGAGGAAAATTGAAGGAAATGTCACCTTACCTTGTTCTTTCTTAGATATAAGTTGAGAAGCTAGGAGAGGTTAATTTTCCTTTTCTTTCCAGTTTTAAGTGCATGGGCAATTTTTCTTTTTTTTTAATTTTAAAATTATACTTTAAGTTCTAGGGTACACGTGCACAACGTGCAGGTTTGTTACATATGTATACATGGGCCATGTTGGTGTGCTGCACCCATTAACTCATCATTTACATTAGGTGTATCTCCTAATGCTATCCTTCCCCGCTCCCCTGACCCCACAACAGGCCTCGGTGTGTGATGTTCCCCACCCTGTGTCCAAGTGATCTCATTATTCAATTCTCACCTATGAGTGAGAACATGCGGTGTTTGGTTTTCTCTCTTTGCAATAGTTAGCTCAGAATGATGGTTTCCAGCTTCATCCATGTCCCTACAAAGGACATGAACTCACTGTTATGGCTGCATAGAATTCCATGGTGTATGTGTGCCACATTTTCTTAATCTAGTCTGTCATTGATGGACATTTGGGTTGGTTCCAAGTCTTTCCTCTTGTGAATACTGCTGTAAATAAACATATGTGTGCATGTGTCTTTATAGCAGCATGATTCATAATCCTTTGGGTATATACCCAGTAATGGGATGGCTGGGTCAAATGGTATTT